CTAAATTGGTATAGATCTTTTTGAGGTGTGAAAATCTGGTAGTCATTTATTTACACCTAAATTGGTATAGATCTTTTTGAGGTGTGAAAATCTGGTAGTCATTTATTTACACCTAAATTGGTATTACTTAAAATAGATCAAATAATTTTCATTCATACCTTCTTAATTATCTGTTCACGGGCTAGGTCAGACAAAGGGACCAACCCCATATTGATGAAGCTATAAATAATAATCTTAAGTATAATTCTGAATTTACTATGTATACCTATATGAAATTTGGCAAGCTTTCAATAAATATTACAAGTCTGCTCTACACAAAAATCAGATTTTTTAATAAAGTATTCCTATTCAAGAATTGTGAATTTACAAAGCCTCGGGTGAGGCTTTACTGAATCCGTCTGAGTGAAAGGTGATTTTTGTGTTCAGAATAAAAAATACTCATTTTCATATTTAATGTGCATAACCTCTAGAACCTCCAATATGAATATCAGAAGTTTGTTTTCTAAAATGTTATCTCTTAGTTTCTCTGCCATAACACTAACTGTAGTGAAATATTTAATATACAGTGAAAAAAATGTGAAATTCAAATGAGTAGTATCACTACTTACTGTAGTATTGGCCAGAAAGTTCCAGATAACTTGTCTTGACAGTTTCAACTGTTCGTGTTTCCACACTTATTTACTCTGTACCCACCAGAGCAGTAATACTAATGCCAAAAGCAACTAGCTGTTTCCCACACAGATAAGATTATTGGCACATAAAAGTTTCTAATTTCTACATTTAAGTTATTTTTGTCCAACAAATGTAATAAATATATATACATGTAAATAAGTATTTGTAATACTCAGTTTTCTTTCATAAGTCTGAGTCTCACGGACTTGGTTGTTTAAAAAGAGAATTCAAATATGGATTTTAGAACACATAATAATATCGTTACAAATGTCTCAAAAACTCAATTATTGTTTCTCTAAATAAGCTAAAAATTCCTTTAGTATTAAGATCAGCAAAATAAGATATCCACAAACCAAGCAATTCTGCTGACTGTTTTTGCTTGGAAAAACTTATTTGTGTAAAGGGGAATCTTTTATTTCTATTGGTTATAATCATGTTCGTCACCCACGTAAAGTTGATTACCAAACAATCTCAAGAGTCAAAGAAAGAACGTAGGAGTTTTAGATTTTTGTCAGTTCTTATACAGGTTGTTTCTAATTTGTTGGAAATCGGGCACCGTATTTTTGATGTAAGACGATTCTAAAAGGGTAAAACCAGAGCTCAGACACGTCGTGTGACACAGAAAAGTGAAGATCGAGAATTTTTTAAATACTACTTTTTGAAAATAAGAAGTTAAAACTTAGATACTGTACAACTTTGAATTACAAACTATGTTATCGTGTCAAGTTTATTGACATACATTAATAATAGTTTTGAATGTAAATATATCGTGATGTGCCAAAGATCCAGCTGATGATATTAAAAAAAAACCTTTTAGAATGTCATAAAAGTTCTTCAAGCTGTTGAGACTTAACTAGTAAATTATGTAAAACTTACTAACATGCTTAAATAAAAAAAAACTAGTTGGTGCATGCTATTGTTGTTGTTTTTGTGCAGTAAAAGCAGTCAGCTTTTTTGGCCCCAAGAGTGAGTACATCGTGAGTGGCAGTGATTGTGGGTATATCTATATTTGGGATAAAGAGACAGAACACATAGTCCAGTACCTTCCAGGTGATGAGGTTGGAGTGGTAAGAAATATTTCTTATCTTCCTGTTTTCACCAAGTATTTGTACAGGGTAGTCCAAAAAATGTACAGTCAAGAAAAACCTTATTTATTATTAAGTGTAAGTGTACAATGATTATGTGATGTCCAAGAAAAATCTAAGAACTGTACGAGGAAAAAGTCATCCCTCTACAGTCGTTTGATATAGCATAGTTGCTTTCTCATTCTAAGCCTAAAAGCAAGATACTTTAATTTTTTATGTATACATTTTTTGGACGACCCTCTATTCTGTTAAAAGTTTACAATGCATCCTTAATAAGTATTTAACATCACGTAGTTAATTTATGTTAATATAAACGCAGGTGAATTTCATCACATAGTTTAAATCCAATATTAATTGTCATATTATTTGTACAATAGTATTTTTTGTTGTTGTTTTTTTTTTCCCTGAAAGGCTGGATATTTTTAATGCACTTAACAGAATTTAAGTTGGGCAATTCGAGATTACTTGTTCCTGTTTTCAGGGATCTTTCTTCATTACACGAAGAGTTTAATCTGATAAACTGATGGTGATTTCCAAGAAACATCCATTGTCCTCTATATATCAGATCTCAAATGCATACCTGTCATTTTCTGTTGTTGAATATAGTTTCTGAGTGAAACTAACAATTAGTGTACGTAAAAATGTCTGAGATTCGAGGTGTACTTTTTAAGGTCAACTGCCTCGAAAACCACCCATCCTATCCCATTCTGGCTACTAGTGGGTTGGATAAAGATGTGAAAGTGTGGATTCCTTCTTGCAGTGATCCGCCGGACTTGTCTGGATTAAAAGGCGTAAGTATATATTACATTCTTTCAGTAAATGTTATTTATATAAAGATTTTTAGCATCTTGTGATGTAGCCCACTGATAAATGCTTGGTCCATGCAGCTAAAGTAATTAATCTTATCTGAATGCTGTGATATCAAAAATTGGATACGAGTCTGATATAACTTTATATTATTAGCCTTATTTGCAGATGATATAATTAAAAATTAGCATTTCTTAAACACTAAGAAACTTTTGTGTATAACAACTTACATCTGAAGCTTCATCCTCTCTTACTGACAACAAAAGTTTGAAAAGATCGCTCAAATTAGCTTTAAAAATTCATTTAAAATTTTTCGAATAAAAAATCATGCAAAATCTTTATAACCTCCAGATAATTATCAAATGTTATTCTTAGAAAAAAAAGTAAATTTTATCTGTTATTTTCACTATTGTATCTCTGTATGGGTTTGGTCAATTTGATTGAACCTCTTAACCATCATCAAAAAAATAGGAAATATATATAAATTATGCTTTTTTTTTTTGTTCAAGAATGAACACAAACTATAAAACGAGTTGCAAGTAGCTTAAATCTCATAACATTATACATCTATATATATTTTTTTACTTTATTGACCTTTCAGCTGTGTCTGACTAACATTACAGAAGTTGCAACGACGCGGCACACGTGCACTCGTGTTACCGTATCCAAGAATATAAAACTGGCCTTTACAAAGTGACCTGTCTTGGCTGTGTTCTAGTGGACTAGTGTTTTGTAAAATGCAGTCACATTTTGGTTACAATACATTGTTATATATATATATATATATTACTATTAACAAATAAGTTTTTAAACTTCAGTTATTTTTCTTAAAACATAGAACAGTAAATATAGAAGTATTGAAAACAGTTATGAACTTAATGCTTGTTTGCTGCTGGCCTTAAGTTTCTAAGACTTATTAAGTTTTGCATGTGGAGGATGTAAAACAAATTAATCTTTGTTAGGTTTCATATATGCATTTTGAAATAACTATCTCTATCACAGAATTCCACTATAATTTACCAAGCTAAAAAATATGAAATATTGGGCTCACTTGGAGCCTGTCATGAAAAGAAAGAATTTCCCATGTAATTTTAACGTAATGGCAAATGTTTTGTCATCATCATGATGAAAAAACCTTGTCGAAACATTGTACGTTTGCTGTTATGTTAAACTTACATTAAAGTTTTTCTTCATTACCCATTCAAGCCCGTCTCCAAGCATAATTAGTCTCTAAGTGGGTTCCTCATCATCGAATTTTAATTCCCATGTAAATACTTTGCAGAAGCTGAGAAAACCACTAGAGGGCTTTCAACTGGGTGAAGTAGGTATACATAACCAAGTATTTTCAAAAATGCAAGAGGTGGATGGGGGCCACCATGGTTGATTAACTAGATATATTAATATATCAGAAAATATAAAAAAAAAAGTAGGGAATTCTTATATTCTAGCTTGTTAATATTGGTAATTTGAGTTTCTAATTCATAAGAAACTATAGATTTTGTATTTGGACATCACAAACATCTAATTTGAACCATAATTTAAACATACCATGCGACACAAATTGATATTTCGGTTGTTTTTTTTAATATTTACATTTAAATTAAGAAATTAACTAATGAATCACACTAAATTTTGAATTATAATCTACAATTTGATACCAAACTTATTGACATACCTTCATAAAATAGTAACATTTTTGAATATGAGTCTACAAATGCAATGACATGACCTTTGACCATAGGAAGACCCGTAGAGATATTTTTTACTTGATAATAATACATTTGTGCGATTTGGTCAACATGTTTTTCAACAGATACAGTAAGATTTGGTCAACATGTTTTTCAACAGATACAGTAAGATTTGGTCAACATGTTTTTCAACAGATACAGTAAGAT